ATTAATTATGTTTATGGTAAGATATAAGATAGAATGATGGATCATGCTTATCACGTAGACTAAAAGTATAAATATAAATTTTCGTTTGGAATAACGAATAATTAAGTTGTTTTTAAGAATTAATTTTCTTTTGTATATTAATTATTTTAATAAAGGTTATAAATGTTTTTAGTTTAATGTTGTCATTTTATAAACAATAATAGTGTACCTATAGTGTATGGCTATTTAAATTAATTCTAATTATAGAATGATACTCAATATGCATGAATGTACAGATGTTAAGCAATTTTTGTGTTTGGATAACCATGATTAATTTAAATGTACCTACTTTTGCTAAAAAATGTATAACGTATATCCCTCCCCATTGAAATTTCCTGGGCACGCCACTGTTTATACTTCCACTTGCTAGTTATTTTAATTAATGTTATTTATTTAGGTACTACCTATTGCCTATAATAGGTTATAGGGTTTTAAYCGTATTATATAGTGTCAGATATAGAGGTACGCACTATATTATATAATTGATAATCGGTAGGTACGTGTAACTAGTAGATATTTGTAATCATAATAATTTTACGTCAATAATTTGAGCGTAAGCACACAAACAAACTCAGTAGTCCACAAACTACGACCCGCGGGYCATATCTGAACCTCAAACAAGTTTTTACTGTTCCGCTATAACTGCAGCTAGTTTGCAAGTTGCAACGAATAATTTAAAAAAWTTACTATTTTTTATGAATACATCACTGTCTACACTCAACGTAGTTGCACTTATTTGTTAAATTATCATTGAATTTCTATTTTGTATACCTGTTTATTTATAATCATTACATTCTTGTTACAAATTAACGCTTCAATTTTATTATTTAAATTGTATGTGGACATACAATTAATGTGTTTAATGTATTGCCTTTTTTTTTTCTTGTACAGTAATAAATGTAAAATATTTTGGTTTAAATTTTATTTTACAAAGGTGAAAAATATTGATAACCGGGTCACTTCAAACAAGAGTTTGCGATTCGCTGGTAAATTGGTATATAGCTTTAAGTATACTATTATTATACTACTATATATAYATATACCTAATATCTAGCCTGTAGTCTAATTTATTGTTATTTAGTAGGTACACACACTTAACGAATACGTACCTATAGTGCACTGTGCACACTTCCGATTTCGCCGATTTCGGACTAAACATTTTGTGTCAGCGTTCAATGAAAAATAGGGGCTGACCATACGTTACGATTACACCGTCGTCTAAATATTATATCTATAACATTGACGATGGGTAATCAATACTAAATAAACGCAACGCGACGAGTAACTTCGTGTTCGATATCAATATAATAKCACACATATCCGTGGACCATGGCAGAACGAGGTTATAATGACATGGTTGATTGTGCAAGTGTACGCACGATAGAATTTATTTATAATATAACAAACACTGGTTTTGTGTGTGCCTAACCTAACCTTTGATACAGCGCTTGATGAGTGCATGTCTGTTGTTTCCGTGTACACCTAACAACTAACCAATTACCTACCTACGACTGAACAACTACATGCACACGTGTGGCGGCCAAAGAGTCGATCTCGGACGATTTCAACGTCGATCTCCCTATAGTTAAAGCTTATAGTTATGCATTTAGTTATAGTAAAATACAGTTAGGTAGGTACTGATAGATACATATTTTGGATTAACCGGTTTGTGTRAAATTACGTTTTTTTACATGGTCGCGTGAGTTTTAAAAACTGATTATTCCGAGCTGGTGAAGTGTGAGCTACACTTATTTCTAATGATGATTAATTAAAGCAGCGCCTTCGYTTAGTAATTAGTGACTATTCCCAAGATGATAATTTACTGGTCAACGATGTGCAATGACATGTTTATTTTATTTTATTCACGTCAACCGTATGTTAATTCATTTTGAAATTTAATGTGAAACATAATTTTTAGGTACCTAAATTTACACTTAAATTGTATTATTTATATAAGTATGTTTATGATTAACATTTATGACTAATAATAATGTAAATCTTAAAAGTAAAAATAATTTTTTTTTACGTAAATCGATCGTCAAAGGATAAATATATTATTCTCAGCACCTAGGTAGTAGGTAGTTTTTAATAAAAAAAGTTTAGCTGCCTCTGTATATACATATGCAATTATTTTGCTAAATGATGCAATTTACCTACATAATTACTAATTATTKTGCRTAACATTTTATCTGGCACCTCACTTCCGGTAATTCGGTATAGATACCTATGGTAGGTACCTACGCCATACTGGTCCTACTTAACTGACTAGCCACTGTATATTAATTGATACCAGATTTAGATGTCTATAATTTCATATATCATAATGATTAGATAAAAATACTTAATTTATAATAAAAAAAAATTTAAAAACTAATAATAAGGTTTAAAAGCAGGCATCACCCATAACCATACAAAATATCGAAAAACAAACAGGAATACAACTCATTAATATTTACGAACCATTATAGCGGATGGTCTAATAATGAAACTATGAAACATTTATCGAATTGTAAATACAGATTGTCAGTCTTGGAGATATAAATA